AGTCCTCTTTGTCTAGAACATTCTTTGTAGGACACCGTTGGGAAATGCCATTTCACCTTTGAGTTATGCTTTGCTTCCCCTTCTTGCATTCCCCCACTGCACACCCTCTGCTAAAAGCTACTTTCAAACTTAAAGGCAAAGTTCATCTTCATACCACCTCCAATGACTAACTCCATGCATTTTACATGCTAGGTGTTCAACTAATGTTTATTTAATTAAATGTGTTGAATTATAGGGAAATAAAGGAATGTTAATTAATGCAATAAAGAAGACAAAATACAACGAAATCACGCTTTCGTTGATGGATGGAGGGGCATATATATTCCTCCTCTTCCCATATGAAAACTTCTGGGTTATTATCAATGTAAATAGACAATGTAACTAGATTTTACATAGTTACAAGCACCAGGATGCGGAGGGAGCTTCTTGTACCAACTGAACACTGTGCTCCCTGCTGGCGAATGCAGCAACTGAGAGAGGGCAAGAGCACAGGAGATTGGAAACTTCAGCCTACCCCTGCCTTCGAAAATGAAATCCTCTGTCTCTGATGACAGGTATTCTTGTCTCCCTTCAGCCCCTGCACTGGACTTCAATCCCCATCCATTGGAAACTTAACATCTTAATATTTTAGCAGTTGCCATTAACTAATAAATATGGTGCGCTGCTCTCTGATTTGAGAGATAGATTTTCAGACATGGGTATACTGTTCGAAAAGGCCGATACCCATTTCTTGGTTCTTTCTGATGATGTAGACTATCAGTTCTCAGGAGAGCAGATAAATCATTGTTATAAGTTGACTAGTGCTCTGTTTCTCTGCCTTCTTGGCTCTAGAATGTCTGACATTTAGACACCTGATCTAAAGTTAATAAATAAATTCAGACTACTCTAACATGCCTTTAAAATATATTCCAGTTATGGCAACACTGAAGGCACCCATTAAAGCAGTCTTTTAAACATATATATAACAAGACAAAACACCTAGTAAAACCTCTCACTTTTATTTCTAGGTTTGCAATTTACTCAGTACAGTTGACCTTTAAGCATATATAAAATATATACAGACAGGATTTCAAATAAAACAAAAGATTTCTTGGTTTTAATGTATGGCATTTAAATACTCCTTTACTGCACTATTTATAAAACTGTTTTATAGAACACTAAAATGTATGGGGCTGTTTAAAAATGTTAATCCTATAATTAATAGTCAGAGGCATACGCTTTCCCCCAGCACAAGGCACTGATATTCTAAATTTGTCACTCTGAACTTTACAGTAGGAGACAGCCATCTGCCTGCATGCAGCCGTCTAAAACAAAGCAAGACTATATGCTCTTATGTTTCCCCTGGTGAGATGCAGGATCATTATGATAAAGTAGGCAACAAGGTTTAGCTCATATGAATTAAGATAACATATGTTGAGAGAATAAAAGAACATATTAAATCAAACTGATTCTATAAGTCAATGTTATTAGGCAATTTGATATGAATGATTTGATACAGCACATGACGTAATGCTAAGTTGATAGGAAATATGTGTATGGGTGACCCATTACTGAATCCCATACCCCCAAACCCTTTCTCTGTGTTACTGAATTTAGTGTTATTACAGTTAAGGCCTAAACCTAATTTATACCTCCATTTTGCTGTGAAAAACAACAACAAAGCTGTTAAAATAAAATACTTTAACATTCTTTCAAGCTTAAGAATATTAACTTTGAATATAAAAAGGAGCAGGGCTATAAAGAAAAAAATCAGTTTCCATCATATCTTTTCTTTTAGATGCCTATGCAATTATATATTTTTTTCAGAGAGTCAGGTTCTTTCATCATCTATGTCCAGATTTTTCTGAAATTTAAATCTTCTTAATCTACTTCCTATGTTTTAGTTTTATTGAAATATCCACTCAGATATGATTGTCTTAGTGTCATCTAATAAGATTTTCAGTTTGATATCGGGTGGGTCATGATAATGCCTGAAAAATTTATTAGATCAACATTAACTTCTTTGGTTTTCTGATTTTGAAAATTTCAGTTTTTAAAGAAAATGTTCTTTTCTTCCTTCAATAAAGTTACTTTTAATAAACAGATGAAAGAGTGATAACATTTAGAAATTCTATGTCATGTCATCATGTTAAACTTGATTGTCTAACTAGTGCAGCAATAGAACATGGTGGTTAAATGTGAAGTATGGAGTCAGGCAAGATTTCTTCTAATCCCATCTCTACCATGTGCCAGCTGTGTGACCTTGAGTGAGTAAGTTAACAACTCTGGGCCTTAGATTTCTCATTTGTAAAAGGGGGTAATTTAGAATGCTTACTTCAGCTGGGTTATTCTGAGGGTTAAGTGAAATAAGATTCATGAAGCACTCAGTGCAGTGTCTGGTAAATCAGAACTCTTCAAGATGATATTATGCAAATTTCATTCCTGAAGCAGAAGTTCATATAAATTAGATGTTGAATGTACTCAACAGGGCCTTAGCTAAGAAATAATTTTCATAGCAATCTATCAGTACATTCTAAGCAATTTAATACTGAGAACATTTCTATATGAGAGAGAGAGAGAGAGAGAGAGAGAGAGAGAGAGAGAGATTTTGATTGATTTAGGGACTGTTTATCCATAACAAGACTTTTGCCAGGTAGTGGAAACTGGCATACAATACTGTTCATTGAAATCTACTCTTAGAAATGATGGCATCTGACTGACCTGGATAATGCTATAAAAAGTCTCATTATGGTAGCAGATTTCTAAATCGTGGGCCTTAGGCAGTAGTCCTTATCTGTCAATCTGGATTCTAAGACGCATACCAGTATAAATTATATTTAGAGCATCAGATTCAAAATATAAACCTGTTCTTGGCTTTCTTTATAACTGAAAGAAGAAAGATACTTAATTCTAATTTAGGGAGTAAATGGCTAAAAGTAAATATTGATCATTTTTACAATTAGAAATAACATTTCCAATTCTAAAAATGTACAGCACACCACATTCTAAATATTATACTAAAATACTTCCCCCCAAAGGAGGCAAGGAGTAACAGCAAAGTTACAGGTAAATACTGTCATGGCTAATAATCTAAAAAGAGTCCTATTGCACGCATTTTGTTTAGTACATCATACATCTCAGATGTCACTGACAAGGTTTCTTTAAGAAAAAACAATTGTTCTCTTGGTAATAATTGTTTACTCACAGTTTCTGATTACTTTCACCTAGAAATAAATAATCTATAGTAGATTACCTAGATTTAGCAACACATTATCATTCCATCTATTATTTTTCAAAATGCTGTAAATTCAGCAGGAAAAAAAGCAAAAAAATAGATGAGGCCGAAACTGAATAATAATGTTGGAAAAAGATAAAATATTCCCAATAGTGAATACAGGGCAGAGATTCTTTTCCTGAGGCCAGGCTCCTATACTCCGTCATCCCAAACACCAAATGTTACTAAGCTTCAGTCAAGTCTTACATTTAACTCCAAATAAACCTGAACTTATCCTTTTCTGAAGGAAAGTATAGGTGACGATCTGAGTGTTAAAGCTACTGAGTTGGGAATTAGGAGGAAGAACTGGGGATTCAGTAGGAGAGAGAGAAATTATGGTTAGAGGGTCATTTGTAGTCGAACGTGTGTGATTAACCAGCAGATATGCTCAATAACGAAGAATTCCTTTTAAAGGATCAACTTCACCACTGTCAGTAAATATGGATTAAGAAAAAAAAGATTAAAATATCAAAGTACACTTGAAGAAAGGTAAGGAGGGTATTTTTCTAAGACTCTACCTAGCATGAAATTAGAGAAAGAAAAAACCCTCTCAGAGTTTTAAATGGTTAAGTGTAGATCTAAAAGAGCCTTACAATCCCAATTATGTCCCCAGAATTATGTCCCACAGAATGTAACATAAATGGTCTCAGACTGTAGCAGAAGAAGGCAAGTTTCGTGATATTTGCAGACATATGAAATATTCACTCAAGATTAAGCAATAATGATGTGTCTTCAAAAGCATTGTACAGTTAAAAAACAGACTTTAAGGACACATTTTACAATGAACATGAAAATCGACTGTATTTCCACTTCTGTGCTTTTTACTGTTTACTTGCTTACTTGGCTGAATATTAAAACATTCCCAGCAGTCAGACAAGGTCATTTGGAAAGAAGAGTTCAATAACATATACACATACTTCTGAATTGGGTTTAGGAGGTCCCACATTTTGGCACTACAAGAAGGAGTTATTTAATACAGTCTTGGGTAAGTAATGAAATTCTCTGCCATCGGAATCATTATCCACTAGCAATCCTCATCCCACTTCTCCAATTTAAAACCAGTGATTAATTTTACATGGGAAACAATGACACCTTTCAGCTATTAGTGTAGGGACACGCCATCAGCTGCATCATAACCTAATGTCTTTGTAATCTGCCCGGGCGTTTCTGGCTGTGGGTGCCCTGCATGGCTTCAAATAACAGAGCCTCTCAGGAGGCCACTAGATGTTGACAATGGGAAAATTTTCTTTTTATTCATAATCGCTCCATTAATGCAAACTTATATTCTTAAACATTAAAAAAGTAATTTACTCTTCATACACAACAAAGTAATTTAAATATGGGGATCTGCTTATGAAAGATTAAAAACCAGTAATTTGATTAACAGTTAAACAATAAAAATAGTATTAATTAGAACCTAATTATTTCTCCGGTGACAAAGGATGTTCGCACCACACTTTTAGAAGAAACTATGTAAATAACACTACATTTGAATTTGAACTCTTATTTTGTGTGGCAATTGAAAATAGATTTTGAGTGGCAGTCCTAATAAAAAAAATATCTTAGGTTTGCTTCTACATTATTGAACTGAAAATGTTCTATTAGAACTCATTTTTAAATAAAACTATACAGCTGTTTCTTATTTGTGCTAATATCCATCAATGTGTTTACAATAGGTTTCAATTCTCTTGCTCCCTCTGGAGAAGTTTTTAAAAAGAAATATAGAAGGATAATGAAGATTGATTACCTTGCTCGCAGAAACGGCCAGTGAAATGTAGTGCACAGTCACACCGGAATGAGAATACACCGCTGGAGAGGAAGAGGGATGGCGAGTGCCTCCGTGTGGCACACATCGCCTGGCACACAGAGGGCGCTGCAGGAGCGGGGCTGAGGGAAGCCCACGGGGAGCCGACCCCTTCTGCCCCACCAGGAGGAGCAACAACGGAGGGCACTGCAGGCAGAGTAGAATCCCGGGATCTAGATTTAGAAACAGATCAGAAAACACAAAGTAAGTGAAAGTACCAGGAACTTAAATAGAAATTACAGAAACTTTGGTTTTACATCAGAGAGGGGGAAAAACTGTCATTTAAGGTTTAACGGAGGGCAAAAAGAATTACATTTGTTTTACAATTGTGGGGTTTATAAATGCTGAACATGTCAAGGCTACAGAATGTGACCCTGGGCTAATTGTGATGCTGTAGTCAATCCATGTGGTTCTGAGAAGCTAAACTAATTTCTTCAAAGTAGTAAGAAACCTGGCTATCTTCGCCTCCATATGCCTAAGAGTCAGTTTTACATGAAGGAAATAAAATTTTGGCTGAACATAGTTCTAATTTGGCTATTCTAAACTTCATGAGTGTAAGATCAAGAAGGTAGACCATGTTACATTTTTGTGGTAAAACTGCTTGAACTTACATTATTTCCAGGTTGATTGCTAGAAAGATGTATTCCTCAAAATGACTTGCATTCATTTGTAGAAGGTACCCGAGAGGTATTTTAGAAATGCCCATAAATGATTCCTTAATATTTTTTTCACAAATTATATTACCAGTCTAATTTTTCTTCCTTAATAATGACCAAAAACAATTTCCTTTGAATTAAACCAAAATTCTTTACTTTTACATTTTACACTCAAAATCTCTTGATAACTGAATCCCTCTGTACTTCCAGCCTATTACCATAATTCCTCATAAGCACCTTAACTTTCTCAAAACAAATGACATTGCTATTTGGAAAGGTCCTGAGCTTTCCAAATGTGGAAATCTGTTCATTCCATTTCCATGCATCGCTGTTCCTCTCTTCACCTAAAGTGCCAAGTCAAGATCTATATTATTTCCTCCACAAAGCCTTCCTAATCATCCTGGCTCACCAAGATGAAACGGATGTTTCAATCATCTCTAAAATCCCATAACATGTCTTTGTGCTGCTGCTCAACTATTTCCCACCTGCCTGTAGTAGTTGTTATTTTATGCACAGCCACTCCTGCTCCGCTGTACACTGGACATTGTTTCTCCACCCTCCCTCCATACACAGATTCCTCATTTTGGCAGAATTCCTTATTCATAGCAATCACTTTATAAATATTTGTTAAATTAATGCCTTCTGAGTGTTATATACTGTTTGGGAAGCTGTGCTTTTGTAATTTTCATTTAATATAATCATTAAGAGAATTGTCTTGTTAATGTGAAAAATCTTGCTGCAATATTAAGTAATCGAAATTTAACAGTATATTTTTATTTTATATGTTGTCTATTGTGTATTAATTTGATATGATTTCAAATCCACTTTTTCCACAAAAAATGAAGTTAGTTTTAAGAGTGAAGTTCTTTTGGCCTAAGAATGAAGTTGTTTTTAAGAGTGAAGTTGTTTTGATGGAAGAGTGAAGTAGGCTATGTCAGGATGTTATCATCTTATCTGTTGTTACTGATAAGCACTGAGTAGCTCAGCTGCTGAGGGCCATCAGTGGGGGCTTAATGAATAAAATATGTGGAGAAAGCAACTATGGTTAAGAGTACATTTAGACTATAAGCACCTACAGTTGTGAAGTTTTTTCCAGAGTGTTCGGCCTGGGCAGGGCTACTCTTTGCTGATCTAAAGAGCTCCGTGAAGACCTTTGGGCCTTTAGCTCCCTCTACGGTGAAGGTAACTCTTTTACTAGCAGTGGGGAAAGCCACTCAGTGGCCCTACAAAGAATATCTTGCCTGTCAACACTTACTCTGTCATTTCCTAGCCAAGTGCTCTAGCAACAAGAGGCTTTTCTTTGGCACTGGCACATGGACATCAGCTCTTGGTTGGCCAGGCTGACCTGTCTCCTGAGTACCAACTTGTATAAGATATGCCTCAACTAAAAATTCTTTTTATCTCTCCTTGTCTGGTACAATAATATAATTAATCTATCATTTCTTTGGCGTACAAGCATAGTTCAGAGATATTGTGGGTTTGGTTTCAGACCATGGCAATAAACTGAGTACCATAATAAAGTGAGTTGTAATGTTTTGGCTGGTGGAGAGTCTTGCCTTCAATTTGTAAAAAAAACTGAACACCTGTGAAGTACAATAAAGCGAATAAAATGAGGTATGCCTGTATGCTATTTCTTTTGGCTGATTAAGAGACATTATCCTGTATGCTACTGGCTTGAGAAATTATTATAATTCCTTCAGTGAACCTGTGTTAAATAAAATATTGGGAAAAACAAAGTCAGTGTGTGAGCAAAATTTTGTCCCCCAAAGCAAAACATTGTCAAAAAGATAAACCCTTGGCAAAAAAAAGTCAGTTCAAAGACATTTTCTGACTGACATTAGAGAGTTATTTTTGTGTTTACTGAGTATATGTATGTCAACTCATTGGAGTAAAAAACCTGAAGAAAGTGAAATCGATAATATAAAAAACATTTTCTAAAAATAGTGTTAATGTGCTAGTCAGTTCTTTTGGGTTACAATCCTTTTACAACCTGAAATTCCTCCTCATGGTGTTTATCACAGGTTATTGAAAGGTTAAGGTCTGTAGTGTGAGGGCAGGCTAAATAGCCATCTCAGATGATGGATAAAGAAAAATTGAATTTAGTTAAAGAAAGGGGATAAGGGACGGGGGTATCCAAAGGGATGGGCTACACAGCACTGAGTCAAAGGGTATCAGGTCCATGATGGCAGCAAAAATATCCTTGGGACAGTGAGACAAGGAGGAGCCCAGAAGCAGCAACAGGAGAGCCTCACTGAGAAATCAGAGAGAGGGGGGCCTTGGAGACAGGCTCAGGGGTTAGCCTGGGATGAGCTGCCACTGCCCATTGCTTCCCCCATTGCAAGTCTCATGGGGTCCCCTGGGAGGGAAGAAGGGGGATGGAGGTGGCCCTGGTATGCTCCCCTGGTGGGGAGTGAACACTGGGCCCTTTGCCCGGTGTTTATCTCTTTCTTGCAGGTACAAATGTTAGGGGAGGGTCTCAATAGAATATTCATCAGCTTCCCAGGGGTGCTCTTTCAGGGTCTCCACTGACTGGTAGGTGCCAGGGCAGGGGGTCATTAGTCAGCTGGTCCTGAGGCAGCCACAGTGTCACTTGTCTGGTTTTGCTGCTTTTCTGGGCCTGAAGCTGGAATACAACTGATGTTATCTTTAGGGAGGAACTGCTCAGGGGGGTCTTACATGCTTGACCAGAGGTATGCTAGGGGAGGAAAGGTTACCCTGGGGGACAAGGTTCTTGTTTTCTCGGTTTTGCCCCTTGCTAGGCATCTGGGGCTTCCTGCCCTGGTGAGTTTCTGTGGCCTAGTTTCTGTACTTGGCCCACCTAACAGTTATAACCATATTTTTATTTTTACGATCATTTAAGCCTGACTCAATCCCCTTTCCTCTGCGCTGCAGTTTCCACGAAGGACGGATAGATCACCTCTGCTCTTTTCTTCATCGTATCCCTAACACTGCTTGACTTCAAGTAGGCTCTCCAAGAAATATTCTATAAGTAAGTTTGAATCATTTTTGTAAAGATGCAATGTTTCACACTTCTAACAAGAAAAATAACAACTAAACATAAATTGGTTCTCTTTGGGGTCAATTTCATAACTCCATTATTATAGCTCTTTGGTTTTGTGAATAACATAAATTCTAAAACTTTTGATGCAATCTTACAATAAACTTTCTCTGATTTCATTCTGTTAGATTAGCATAGTTTTCCCCATTTGTACTCATAATATAAGATTGTTCCTTTGAGGTAACTTCTGTCCAGTGAAATGGCAATGCTAATTTGAATTACATGAGACTTATTACTCAGTATTCCTACTCTAATTTTTAGTTTCAGTGTCTCTGAATGATTTCACCATTTCATCTAACTCTTGCCGTGGACTTCATAAACTGCAGTCAATCACCTTTTTTCTCAGGGATAAATTAGACTGAATTAAATGTCGCTACTTCTTTCTCCTACTGTAGCTGCTCAGGGGTCCTGTATCTCTCCTGAAAATATCAGTACGTTGCACATTTCACTTGCTAACAGATTACACAAAAATAATTACTATCAATGGAGTCATCAATTAAAACATCAAGGTCATTAATCAAATTTTTAGAAATTCGATGCTAGGAGGATTGAATTTTATATCTTATATGTTCTTAATTATGTCACAAATTTACCAATTTTTGTATTTAGAATTAAATGAAATTTATTCAATTTACTATATATTTTAAAAACAAAAAAATTTTATGGTTGTTAAAATTTTAACTTGTTTTTACATAAAAGGTTAAAATTATCAAGTGAATGGGTGTTTATTAAACACAACTAGATGGTGGTCATATTAATATAATTAGCAATGTAAAAGCAGCATTTAAGTTGCAATTCCTTTTAATTCTAAAATCACGAATGTATGAATGTTGAGAAACAAAGCAAGGCTCAGAGTTTTCAACATAAACAATACTGCAAAAATTGATCTTCTTATCTAAATACTTGAACTACTAACAATCTAAAATAGTAAGTGGGAAGAATCTGCTTGGCTGCCTCTCGGGTAACTGCGGATAAGAATACGGTGATGAACCGGTCACTGTTATAACATGTAACAAGCTCTCAAGAACTCTTTCTGAATGAATTAATGATTGAATAAAATATGCTAATTTTATTCAAAACCAAGCCTGATCCTTAGAGACAGACATTATTTTACAATGACAGTGATTTCTAATCATCTTGGGGGAGCTCTAGGTGGAACAAGAAAGGCGGACACCCCACTCCGTTCACTCCTGCCTCTCTTGCTCTTTACGGGGTTCTGTAGAAGCCCTGGGGCAGCAGGCCGCGAGCAGTTCACACTGCTTCAGCCCCAGGGGCTTTGCTATTGTCAGCAGGCATCTGTCTGGCTTCAGTGTCCTTGAAGGAGGGATGGGCTCACTCACAACTGTGAATCCTGGAAGCCCTGCTTCACAGCAGAGAAGGAGAATTGTTTGGAATTATGATAAAGCATTAAAAAGAAACACACTGAGCAAGAGGAATCTTGAGTTTGTGGCTATGAATA